TTTAATCCATTTATATTTAAGGTTATTATTGATAGGTACTTATCTATTGCCATTTTATTTCTTTATGCCTGTTTCTCATTCTCTCTATTTCAACTTCTTATTACAGCAGTCCCTTTAACATTTCCTGCAATGCTGTTTGGTGATGATAAACTCCTTTAGCCTTTTTTTTTTTGTCTGGGAAGCTCCTTATTTCACCATTTATTTTGAATGATAGCCCTGCTGGATAGAGCAGTCTTGGTTTCAGATCTTTGTTTTTCATTACCTTGAATACTTCATGCCATTCCCTTCTGGCCTGTAAAGTTTCTGATGAGAAGTCAGCTGACAGCCCTATAGGAGCTCCTTGGTAGGTAAGAGGTTGCTTTCCTCTTGCTGCCTTTATGATTCTCTCTTTGCCTTGAATTTTTGGCATTTTAATTATGATGTGTATGGGTGTGGGCCTCTTTGGGTTCTTCTTGCTTGGGACTTTCTGTGCCTGCTGAACTTGAGTGGCTTTTTCCTTGACCAGACTACCGAAGTTTTCTGCCGTTATTTCTTCAAACAGGTTCTCTAAATCTTGCTTACTTTCTACCTCCTCTTACACTCCTATGATGTGAATATTGTTATGTTTCATGTTGTCCCACAGCTCCCTTAAACTGTCCTGTTTTTTAATTATTTTTTCTTTTTGGCTCTCTGATTGATTTTTTCTATTCTGTTTTTTTAAAATTTATCTTTATTATTGAAAGTATTACAGATGTCCCTTTTCCTCCCATTGATCCCCTTCACCTGGCATCCACCTCCACCCCATCCCCAGGCCTTATCCACACTATTGTCTTCTTCCATAGGTCATGTATATATGCATATAAATTCTTTGACTAATCTCTCTCCCCCATTCCCCACCCCTACCTTTTAATTTGCTGATCCAATCCTCAGCTTCTACTAATCTACTGTTCATTCCTTCCAATATTTTATTTCTACTATGTTATTCTTAATTTCCTTCATAGCTTCCATTTCTTTTCTCATGCTGTCGAGCATCCTTATGATTAGTATTCTGAACTCTATAATCAGATAGATTGCTTATCTCCATTTCATTTAGCTCTTCTACTGGAGAGTTCTTTTGTTGGTTCACTCGGGGCTTGTTTTTTTTTGTCTCCCCATTTTGGCTGCTTGTTTGGATTTGTTTCTAAATATTAGGTAGATCTGCTAGGACTCCCAGTCCTTTGGATGGTTTCTGGTGCAGGCCAGTGTCAGACACTGTTTGCGACTGGCCTTGAGTACCCTGTTTGAAGGTTTCCACACTCCACAGCTTGTGGTTCCTTCTGCTGGGTCTGGGTGCATTTGGAAAGGAACAAGATGCACACCAAGGTCTGCTTTTCCAAGCCCAGGGCCCAGAAGCAAATCAAGCAAAGACTCAAAGCACCCAGAGGCTGGTTGTTCCATTTTGCCTATTTCTGAACTTTTTAGCTGCATTTTTATAACCTGGTTTCTTTGGCAAAACACTCTACTTTTGATAACTTGTGGTTGGTTTTGAACGCCTTTGTGTTTTTCAGCACCTGAAACTTTATTGGTAAAAAACCACAGCAGTTAAAAAAAAAAAGGAAATACTAGATGTGAAAGAGGTCATTTTGGGTGGTGGTTTGAAGTGTAAAGAAACATCTGTAATACCTCCAATAATAAAGATCAGAAAGAAGGAAGGAAGGAAGGAAGGAAGGAAGGAAGGAAGGAAGGAAGGAAGGAAGGAAGGAAGGAAAGAAGGAAGGAAGGCTAATTATAAGAAAAGCATCAGATTTCCTGGCCTGTGTTGCTCAGCTGGTTGGGTGTCATCCTGTGCACCTAGGGGTTGCTGGTTTGATTCCCAGTTAGGCCTTGATCACCAGTGGGGGGGGTTGCAGGAGGCAACTGATCTGTCCATGTTTCTCTCTCTCTCCCTCTCCCTTCCTCTCTCTCTAAAAATCAATTTAAAAAATCGTTTTTTAAATAAAAAAGAAAGAAAAACATCAGACAAATTCCAGTAAATGGACGTCCTACATTATACCTGAGCAATACTCCCCCAAATTGTCAATTTTCTATATAAACATTTTGTCAAATACAAGTCTAAGAATCTGTTATAGTCAAGAGAAACCAAAGGAGACATAAAAACTAAATGTAATTTAGTATTTTGGATGTGATCTTGGAACATAAAAAGGACACTGGGTAAAAACTGAGGAAATCTGAATAAGCTATGGCCTTTACTGAATAATGTTTTGGTATTGGTTCATTAACTGTAACAAATGTACCATAGTAATGTAAGGTGTTAATAACGGAAAAATGTGAATGGCGTAGGTTGGGGGTAGTTATAGGAGAACTCTCCCAACTACCTGATCAGTTTTTTTTGTAAATCTAAAACTGTTCTAAAAAATAAAGCATTACTAAGTGTAATAAAATAATAAATAAATAAACAAGAGAAGGAATCAAAGAACAATATTAGAATGAAAAAATTTAGAAATATAATCTATTTTTTAAAAGTCTACAAAACATTACAGCACAATATAAAACAAATGATTCTATAAACCAGTACATGATAATTTTTTTAAAGCAGAAAGCAGGTTTCTTTAATATTTTAAAATTATAAAATATAATGTGCTTACAGAAACTTACAGAGCATATAGGTACAGCTTAACTTACATATATTAAGAACTATTAATGTCTATTAATAACTGTAGAGTGGACAAAAGTGGAACCACCACCCAGGTCAAAAAATACTACATTGCCCGTCACTTGGTAGCCTGAATCGGGCCCCTCCTGTGGCAGTACAGCCCCATGTGCCTCTCAGATTAACCCTATCCTAACTATAAGCATTTTCATTTTGGTAAACAATATGAAATTAAAACTGTACTCATTTTTGAAAACTTTATAGGACCTTTAAAAATAAAAATAACTAAATAAAACTTTCAGAACAGAATACTTTAAAGTATTCTTTTGTGTGTTTTTTTTTTTTTTTTCATTTATGTCATTGTACATAGCTGGACTTTATTCTATTTGGGGGCTGTATCCAATTTTATAAACCTTTCTACCGCTGCTGGGCCTTTGGGTTGTTTCCTCTTTTTCTCTCTTACTCTGTTGCTTTGAATATTCTCCCACATGTCTGTTGGAGCACCCCTCACTCGTGCCTAAAAATTAATCTCTTGGTCATAGGATGTGTGGATTCAAATTTTATCTTGCCACACTGTTTTTTCAACAGTTTTTCCCAATTACACACTCAGTATCTTCGCATGAGGGAACGCATTGCTCTCCGCATGTCTATACGGTGCTTCCGATTCCTGAGGCTTGCTGATATTTTGTAAGGGAGAGCTGGGGGGCGGAGGGGTGGGGGGAGGAGGAGAAGTGGTTTGCTTCTTTGAAATGTTTCCTTCAGTATCCAAACTATCTTTTTCAACTTCCAAAATGTATTCTGAGTTTGTCCACTCTGTGCATTTTCAATACTAAAGGCTGAGTCAAAATAACCATCAACTCTCGCTTGTGTTACTTAGGTATTCTAAGCACTTCTCCTGCCCCCACACCATCCACAGAGCTAAGCTGATTATGTAAATATGTAAGTCACAGCACGTCAAGTGCTGCTGTAAATTTCCAGTGCCTTCTTTCAGTTGGAAAGTATTCAAATCCTTAACATGAGTCACAAGGCCCTCTTTTCTCCTTCCAGTCCATGGCTCAGGCACAAATGAGCCTCCTTTCTGTTCCACGGTAGAGCTTGCTGTTTTCTCTAAGTGGGACATCAACTCCCTCCCTCAGCTGGGTCTCGGAAAGGTCTCCTGCTCTAAGCTGTCCCTGGTCACCAGAGCCCAGGCCAGCCCCTGCCAATTCTGCCCTATTGGCCCATCCCCACGTGTTACCAATTGGAATCATCTTGTTCACATATTTATGGGCCTGTTTATTGAGATGAATTAATGAACTAACCACATGAAATAGACTATACACACAGCCTTGAGACAGCAGTGGAGACGTGAAGAGAAGATATTTGGGTGATGGTACTTTTATCCTACACTTGTTCATCTCTCCAGCAACTTGGGTGCTACCGCTCAGCCAAGTCCCAGACGATTTCCGCCAAGTCATCCTTAAGATAATGTCTGCACATCAAGTTCCCCAGCCAGCCAGCCAGTCAGGCAGAACCCAACAGTCCTCCCCAACTTCATTCACCAACTCCATAAAAATAAGTTTTCCTCAAAATATTTTGATATAATTATTAAGAAAAGTGCAGAAGCCCCGGCCCACATGGCTCAGTGGCTTGAGCATCTGCCCTCCCACTGAAAGGTCTGGGGTTCGATTTGGGAATGTATTTGGGTGGCAGGTTCCCCCATACCAGTAGGGGCTCCCGTGGGAGGCAATCAATTGGTGTGGCTCTCTCACATCCATGCTTCTCTCTCTCTTTCCCCCTCCCTTCCACTCTCTTTAAAATCAATGGAAAAAATATCCTTCAGTGAGGATTAACAAAAAAGAAAAGAAAAGAGCAGAAAACAATAACCTCAACCCCTCAATTGGTTGAATGGACAAAGAAAACAAGTCAGATATTAGTTACCTTTAATATATTTGTGAACAAATACTGGTGATAACATTTTAAACATATCAATGACTCAGAAAGATCATAAATTATTTTCTGAGCCTCTACTGACCTAATTGGTCAAAGGGACCTAGTTTTGGAGGAAAGGGAGAGGGGCAAAGGAAGGAGGAAGAGAAAAGGGAGAGAGACGAGTGGAACCAAAGCCCAGTATTCTTCGGAAGCTGGGCAACGTCCAGAGTTGTCCCAAAGGATGGGAGTCTGGGGTAGACCAGGCTTTGGCAAACTCAGCAGAACCTACAGGGTTCACATAGACACAGGGTGTCCAGTGGATAAAACCTCAGTTGGAGACACAGGAGTTAGCAGTGTCCAAAGGCATTCTAGAGCCTGGGAGGAAGAATAAACCATGGCGAACTTGATAAATACCATGGACTCGGCCCTCCTGAGGCAACACCGAGGGAATCTCATGCAAGACCAGTGACTTAGAAACTTGCTCACAGCTCTGAGATGTAAATGTGGCTAGTCTCAATGAATCTCCACACAAAAGAACAATGGAGAAGGCAGGGTCCCCTGGGCTTAGGGGACAGGAGCACAGCAGGACCCAGAAGCAACTACAGGATGCAGGGAGCCGGGGCTCGGGGGTGCAGGGCTGTCCGTGGAGGGTTTATCCACGGGCACGGGCTGGGCCTCTGGGCCCGGAGCTGTGCGCACTGTGCCCACTGAGCGGCGCCGCTTAGCCCGGGCCTGAACGATCGGCTCTTCAGTCCCTTGTTCCCGAGGGCGACAACCACGGCCACGGCCACGGCCACGGCCACG